AGCTGGGCAGCAAGATAAAGATGCTACGATCCGATCGGGATGGTGAGTATCTTAGTATCGAGTTTCACGTGTATCTAAAGGAATGTGGAATAGTTTCACAATTGACGCCACCTAGGACACGACAACTTAATGGTGTGGCTGAGAGGCGCAATCGGACCTTGTTGGACATGGTTCGTTCCATGATGAGTCGTGTTTCGCTACCTATCTCATTCTGGGGGTATGCCTTAGAGACTGCCGCCCATATCCTTAATCTAGACCCTACCAAGAAGGTTGCCAAAACACCTCACAAGATGTGGACATGGAAATCTCCCTCATTGGCACATATCAAGGTTTGGGGTTGCGAGGCATTCATAAGACGAGAGACTCACGACAAGCTCGAACCTCGTAGTGAGCGGTGTATTTTCATCGGCTACCCATAGAAGTCCTTTGGATATCTCTTCTATAGACCGAGTGAAAATGTTGTCTTCGTTGTGAGGAGAGGAGTATTTCGCGAGAGAGAGATCATATGCCGAGAGGACAGTGGGAGGCAAGTTGATCTTGAAGATCTTCAAGATTCAAGCGATGAAGGAACCTCCAACACTATCGATAAACCTGAGGAGGAAACTGTGACATCCCCAAAATCACGGCCAGAAAAGACCATTTTAATTTATGATTTTAAAATAATTTCAGAGTAATCCTTTGATTAAAAGAGTTGCGGAATTTGTTCCCAAAACAAAATATGATAAAATAAAATTTATCAAAGCATTTCATCAAGAGATGCATTTTCATTATATAACAATATTCGGGATGTCATGTTCCGATAAACAGACCAAAAGCATAAACAACAAAAGATAGACCATACAACAGTTACATATAACAACTGGTCTAATATCAAAAGATCTTGATAAGTCATCCAACTTATGCTCTCGCGCCACTACCTGTGATACAACAAAACTGAGTGGGTCAGGCTTGGGAGCCTGGTGAGCATATAGGGTTTTCAACCCACAATAAATAATTATATTTAATTTCACCAACCAACAATAACCCGATTACCCATTCCCGTTATCCTCACTTTACGTCCCTAAAACAACATCTATCTCAAGGGACCTAATCTAGGAATTTCATCGGGATGGACTTTACCGCGAGGGGTTTCCTCAGCAATAAAAGTCCTAAGGCAACCATGATGGGGATAAATTACACCGGTGAACACATCGTTCACAACACCTACAGGTTATGAGCCTGCTAGCGTTCCACAGGACTGTCTAGAAAGTGTCCGTGGTCATTATCCATACTCCGCTGGATAACTAGATCAACAACAACAACATCGAGGCCTCTCATCTGTTTATCACACATCAACTATCTACCCATGTTCTACCCAACATATTAGTAGATAAAAATATATATTTTTATACATAGTTTAAAACCTGTATAGCATTCTCATTCAATACATATTCCAAACAAAAGATGAGACACATACACATAACACGTATTTCATAGAGAATAAATCATATCTATGAGATAGAAGAAAGTGAATATACATTCACACATATAAACATATACACATAACACGTATTTCTTATTAGTACTTCAAATTATGTGTTAGAAGAAAGTAACTACACACTCACTTGATCAGAAGATGATCGGACAGCACTACGGCTTGTAGAAGTAGTATTATTCGGTAGATCTGGAAGATCTTCACAAAATTGGCTTCTCGCTGGCAGAGCCTCGGCTCGGGAATTGCACTTCTCGGGATCTTCAGAGCTTCGGGACTTGCTTCGGGTCTCGGGATGATACCGGGGCTTCGGGGGGTTAAAATAGGGCTTAGAGAGAGTATCGGGAGTGAGAGAGTAAGGGAGGAGCAACCAAAAGCGGCTGACCCTTGATTTCTATTTATAGGGCCATTTTTCAGCTCTCACGTCGTGAATTTTAAGTTCTCACGTCGTGAACTTATTCGTCACTGCATGCGTCATCACAGGTTGCGTCTGATAGGCTCTGAAAGGTCAAATCACTAAGTTCACGTCGTGAACACTATATTCACGTCGTGAACTCTGACACAGTATCGGGGTTCGCACCCTGAACTTCAGAAATTCATAAATTTCGCATACGCGCTCCGTTTTCAACGTTCTTTATATCGACGCGTAGGTGAGATTATGCTCTACAACTCTCGTTTAGACTCCGTTGGCCAATTTTGAATTTATTTTTATTATATTTTTATTATATTATTTTTAGTAGGCCGGGACAAGAAAACTCCGTTAGAAATCCATAACTTCTTCGTCTGACGTCCGTTTTCGTCTATCTTTTTACCGTTAGACTACTATCGATGAGATCTTCAATTCTCATTTAGAAAGTTTTGGCTAAATATCACTCGATCTCAATCTCGAGTTTCGGGCTGCATACTACTAAGCTGAAACTTAGAAAAATCATAACTTCCTCATACGAAGTCAGATTTGGGCATTCTTTTTATGCACGCTCTCGGTTTAACGTATTCTACGACTTTCGTTTAGATTACTAAGGCTAGATATCGCTCTATCTTAAATTCATATTTTACGTCATTCAGCGTCGGGGCGGGGTCGTCGTGAAACTTCGACAGGTCATAACTTCTTCGTTATAACTCGGATTTCGACATTCTTTATATATTCGGAAACCTCGTCACGACCTCTACCACATCCTTCATAGATATCGGGTTTATCTAACATTTCATTTTGACGCTTATTTTTATCCTTAATTCATTTAAGCCACATAATTAAGCAATTAAGCATAAAACACATAATACTCAAATAATACATTCTTATTAGTTCAAAATATGTTACAAAGGTTAACCTAGACTATCACATCATCATTAATGATGAGCCCAGAAACACAGACGTTACAGAAACTCCTGTTGAACCTATTGACGAGTCCTTACCTCTTAGACGTTCCAGTAGAGTTAGGCATCCACCTGAGTTTTATGGATTCCATATTACTACTGAGGGTGATACATTTATTAGTGATAGTACACTAGTAAATTTGGATGAACCTAACAGCTACAAGGAAGCCATGGCAGGCCCGAAGTCTGCAAAGTGGAAAGACGCGATGGACAGCGAGATTCAGTTCATGTATGACAATCAAGTTTGGAACTTAGTTGACAATGTACCAGGTCGTAAGACGGTCGGGTGCAAGTGGATCTTCAAGAAGAAGACATACATTGATGGGAAAGTGCACACTTATAAGGCGCGATTGTTGCGAAGGGATTTACTCAAACTCCTGGAGTTGACTATGATGAGACCTTCTCTCTAGTTGCGAATATAAAGTCTATTAGGGTGATGCTAGCCATAGTTGCGTTTTATAACTATGAAATTTGGCAGATGGATGTCAAAACCGCTTTCCTTAATAGGAAGTTGGCTGAGGATGTTTACATGAGTCAGCCAGAGGGTTTTGTCGATGCGAAGCATCCTAATAGAGTGTGCAAGCTTGAGAAATCCCTTTATCGATTGAAACAAGCGTCTCGCAGATGGAATCTTTGTTTCGATGAGAAAGTCAAAGAGTTTGGCTTTGCGAGGAGCGAGGATGAGTCCTGCGTATATGTCAAAGCCAGTGGGAGCATAGTTAGCTTTCTCGTGTTGTATGTGGATGACATACTACTCATAGGAAATGACATCCCAACCTTGCAGGAGGTTAAGTCTTGGCTTGGGAAGTGCTTCGCTATGAAGGACCTCGGAGAAGCTGCATATATCCTAGGGATAAGGATTATGAGAAACTAGAGTAAGAGACTAATAGGACTTAGTCAAAGTACTTACTTGGATAAAGTGCTGAAACGTTTCTGCATGGAGAATTCCAAGAAAGGGGAGTTACCGATCCAAAGAAATACCAAGCTGAGTAAGACTCAGAGCCCGAGTACAGAGACCGAGATAGCAGAGATGAGTCGAGTACCTTACGCTTAGGCCTAGCAATGGGGCGGGTTTTGACCCTGATCCGATCCGAACCCGTAAAAATTATAAGGGTTTGGAGTGTAATTTGTGATTCGTTTACCCGTTAGCGACCTGTACCCGTTAACCCTTTTATTAAAAGGGTCGGGTATGGATCACTACCGATCTGATCCGTTTATAACCTGCCGCGTGTATATTTTAATAGTATAAATTTATTATTTATATTATATATTTATGATTTTTATTTGTTATTTTGTTAATTATCATATACCATTTACGGGATAGGAAGGAGTCCTGGAATCGAGGAGAGATTCTCGAGGAAGTATTCTCAGCTCTGTAGACTTAAGTCTTTACATTCTAAATTTCCTATTTCTTCCGATCGTTGTTTTTTTAAATTGATTTCTAATTAAAATCTGCATGACTTCGTCTTCACCTTGGCAATCGACTCCAGTGATCGACATTACTTAATCAGGTTCATCTTCTATTTGGCTGAAATCGACTACTTTTCTAATTTTCTGAAATTGAGTTTTGGGGTTTCTAACTGAAATCGTTGTTGACCTTTCTAATTGAAATCAAGTTTTGAGGTTTAAATCGACATTACTTAATCAATTTCGTTTTCTATTTGTCGATGTATTGTACAACAATGCCTTTGATGTTGAAATTATTTGAAAAAAAAAACATAAACAAAGTTTGTAAATTGAAATCGTTGCCCTTTCTTCCATTGTTATGTTATCAGCACATTGATATATCCAGCTTCTGGACATAATCGCAAAGGACAGGTGAAGTCTTAGTTGGAGATATGTAGAATCCTTAGTGTAGATTCACTTTTCGTGTTGACATTTCTCCCTTACAATGCTTGGGTTACTGAAAAAATCTAACTTGGTATTATTATGTTTCTAATTGAAATTAGGTTCATATTGGATTTGATCAGATTTACCTTATTGGTTATTTCTTGTTTATGGAATTATTTACCCTACTGGTTATTGCTTGTTTATGGAATTAAATCAAATACATGATTTTTTATTACTGTGAATATGTGATCGCCATATTGCTTATTGTTTAATGTTTCTAATATATTTATATGATTTCTCATTGCTTTATCAGTTTTAATGCAAGATGGATGATGATGATATGCAAACAAATGGTGCTCAGAATGTTGTAGACGTAGATGCTGAAACTCAAGTCAATGTTGAAGACAAAGATGAGAGTTTTGCCAAGAAAATAAAATTAACATCTGATGTGTGGGAAGGCTTTGATAAAATAAAGAAGAAAGATGTGAGTGATGGTGCCAAATGCAAGCATTGTCATAAGGTACTTGTTGCTGGCTCTAAATCTGGAACAACCCACGTGAGAAATCATTTAAATAGATGCAATAGCAAAAATAGAACTGGTATTGCTCAATATATGATATCCACCAAGAAAAGTATTTCTGACGATTCGGTTGTAATTGAAAATTTCAAGTTCAATGAAGAGAAAAGTAGGATGGATTTTTCAAAAATGTTGATCAAGCACAACTATCCATTTAACATGTGTGAACATGACTATTTTGAGCATTTTGTGAATGGTCTTCAACCAAAGTTTCATCTTCATTGTAGAAATACCGTAAAGTCTGATATACTTCGTGTTCACAAAAATGAAAAAGAGAAACTATATACATACATTGAAACATTACCTGACAGCGTTTCGCTTACGACTGATATTTGGATAGCTGGTCATCAAAATATCTGATACATTTGTTTAACATCTCACTTTATTGATGAGGATTGGATCTTAACTAACAAAATACTTGCTTATAGATGTATAGATTATCCTCATGATGCAGAGACTCTTTTTAGGCACATCATTGACTGCATACTAGATTGGAAGCTTGAAGGAAAGTTGTTCTCCATGGTGCTAGATAATGCTAGTGCCAATGACGCAATGGTGAGGACCTTGAGAGGTTGGATTTGTGACAGGTCTGCAATCCCCTTGAATGGTAAATTATTTCATGTTCGTTGTAGTGCTCATATTCTTAATCTGGTTGTTCAAGATCGTTTAAAAGTTATTGGTGAGTTCATTCACAAGGTAAGAGAAACCGTAAAATATCTTAAACGTTCTCCATTTGCAACACAAAAGTTTAATAATGTGAAAGCTCATTAAAAGTAAAAATGGATTGCCCTACTAGATGGAATTCTACTTTTCTGATGATTAAAAGTGCTTAATGAACGATGTATTTTGGCGTTTAGCACAAACAAATGATAATTATAAATTCCATCCAACTAAAGAGGAGTGGGAAGTTGCCCAAGTTATAAGTGACTGCTTAGAGCTCTTTTATAAAGCTGCATATCGGTTTTCTGGTTCTTCTTATCCTACTTCAAATATGTTCTTTTCTTATGTTTGTAAAATTAAGTTGAAAAATGATAAAGTGGGAAACCAGTGAATATCAATTTTTGCGTAAGATGGCCAACCCAATGAAGATTAAGTTTGACAAATATTGGAATAAATGTTCCTTGGTTTTATCAGTTGCTGTTGTATTTGATCCCAGTTACAAAATGAGTTTAGTTGAGTACTACTATAATAAGATCCACAGTTCTCTTGCTACTTCATATGTTGAAAAAGTTCGTAGTGAGTTGTTGGAGCTCTTCAATGAGTATGATGAGTAATTATCTCATTCTAAAGAAGAATCAAGCCCAAAATTCTGTGGTTCTTCAAGTGAGGCACACTTTTCTGATGATGAGTTATGTGGATTTGATTCCTGGTATGAAAAAGAGAAATCTAATGTTGTTGCTACATGCAAAAATGAGTTAGAGATTTATTTAGAAGAATCTTTATTTCCAAGAAGCGAGTCTTTTAATGTCCTAGATTGGTGGAAAGCCAATAGTGCCAAACATCCTACTCTTGAAAAGATCGCACGTGACATATTAGCCATTCCGACAACTAGTGTTGCATCTGAGGCATCATTTAGTAGTGGAGGAAGAATAATTGATGAATGTCGTTCATCATTGGTACCTGAAACTGTAGAGGCGTTGGTGACTACACAAGATTGGTTACCCTCGAGGAAAAAAAAAGTATGTTGCTTTAACTCTAGAAGTCACTTAATTTTTTTTACTTGAAATCACTTAATATATACTTGTACGTGGTTAATTTTGTACAGGTGCTCAGTGAGTTGAATGGTCAGATTCTTGATTTTTTGAAGATGCATCTCTAGGTGTACGTTTTGTCATGCATGTTTGCTATAGTAGACATTTGTTTTTTTTTTAAGAAATGTTAGTTGAAGTATTAAGTTGTACTACACATTTATTTTATTTAAGAATTGTTATTTTAATTATTAAGTAAAATGTGATTCATGTGTTTGATTATTTAAAATCATGCGGGTTACGGAGCGGGTTTGGATATCCGTTGATTCGGTGGGTAAGGGCATGGGTTTGATTATTCAAAATCCTGTGGGCTACGGAGTAGGTTTGGATCATCTTTTAAAATTTGTTAAAATGGTTTGGATCAAGGCTGATCCGCTCCCAACCCGCCCCATTGCCAGACCTACTTACGCTTCCGCAGTTGGCTCAATCATGTATGCTATGACTTGTACTCGCCCTGATGTGGCCTTCGCTTTGAGCATAATCAGCAGATATCAAGGGAACCCTGGTAAAGACCTTTGGACCGCAGTCAAGAATATTCTTAAATACCTACAAAGGACCAAGGAATGGTTTCTAGTCCTCAGTGGAAGTGATGACATGAGAGTACGAGGGTACAGTGACGCCAGTTTTCAGACAGACCGAGATAACTACTGATCTCAGTCAGGTTGGGTCTTTACTCTCAATGGAGGAGCAGTGACTTGGAAAAGCTCCAAGCAGGAAACTGTGGCTGATTCAACGTGTGAATCAGAGTACATAGCAGCGAGTGAAGCGTCAAAGGAGGCAATATGGGTAAAGAACTTCATCGGAGACCTTGGAATTGTACCTGCCATAAAGGAGACTATGGAGATTTTATGCGATAAGGAAGGTGCGGTTGCCTTGACCAAGGAACCGAGGGATCATGGCAAATCCAGGCATATCGACAGGAAATACCACTTTATTAGACATCGCGTAGAAGAGGGACTCCTCGTAGTGAAGAGGATATCGTCAGAGTATAACCCAACAGATCCCCTTACGAAGGGACCGAGTAGGGTTAAGCACTTGCAGCATGCTATGAGCATTGGTCTGAAGGACGATATTAGTTTTTGTGATTAGATAGATTTTAGAAACTTGTAATAGATAAATTGTAATTAACATTTGATGATTAAATAAAAGATGTTTTATTTATAAGTTACTATCTTGTGTTAATTATTTACTATTGTTTCACCTTGTATGTTTTGACTTCCTGAATAATAACATTATTCGAACCATTCACAGTCGATCATACATTGGAAGTGGGTATGAAAGAAGACTGTCATGAATTGGCTTGTAGACTGTCTAAAGGTGTTTAGACATAGCATAAGTTTGCTACAATGTTCATGAGTGCTTATGAAATAAGATTTGAGTATTGGATTAAACTCGCGCTTACCTGAATCACTTCATGGAATTTTATCACGAGTGATTGTAAGACGATAATATCATATAGTCTTTAAACCTAGATATATGAGTTGTTGTTTGCGAGTTGGTTGTGCATTGATAATGCGTAAACGCATCAGTAACTTGATGTTATAAAACATATTATTGTGCACGATTTGATGAGCAAATAGTACAAGCATATGAGTCCAAGTTTATCTGTTCCTTTTGTCTCACAATGACAAAAGCGATATCTTGGGCCCCTCGATGATTTGGTTTGACTTATGTGTCGGGCCCGGTCAGGACTAAGTTGATGTGTTCAATTAATTTCTATGTCGTACAAATTAGAGATCGAGAAACAAACTGCTGGAATTAGTATGACTATGTTCCATGTGATTGTCCACACGATATCTTGAGAACGGAGGACTATACGATCCCTTATCTATAAGACATGTCATTTGACTGGGTCAGAGTTGACAGCGGCTTTTGAGAGCTACGATTGCTAATCGGATTCTGAAGACATACTTGCAATTATAGTTATTAGACTTATCCAAGTGGGAGACTGTTGGATTAGGTGTCTAAGACCATAACTATATTTGATATGTACTTGACCCAATAGTAGCATGGTCCTTTTGGGTTGCCTTCACCAAAGCAACTTGACTAGATGATTAGTGGAGAAAGAGGATATTATGGTTTATTAATATATTATAAGAATAATATATTAAAAGATAAATCATATTAGTTAATTAATATTTGTCAATAATTAATTAAGAATTAATTTTGTGATCAAAAGATATTAATTGAACTTAGGGACTGGAATTGCAATTATAAGATATGGGTTGTGGATCCTATGGATAAAGGGGTGGACGAAATTAGGGTGGAAGCCCACCTTGAAATCGTCTAAGGCCTTATTCCAGAAGGTTCCATTGGACTGCTTAAGGCCTAAGCTATCCAATTAGGATTTTGACTGAAACCCTAGCAGCACACCTATAAAAGGAACCCTAGGGCATCCAAAATCGGGTACCCTTGAACCCTAGAGTCCTTAGATCCGATTTTTGAGCCTCCATCTCCTCTCTCCAAGATCATCCTTCTTGCCTTGGTGTTTGTGATCGATTAGAGGTATTGCATTTGTGATACTAGGCTCTCAAAGCTTGAAAATTTTGCAACAATTGAAAGGTAATCATCTAAACTTCTTTAGTTATAGATTTGGATATTTCATATGCTAGAATTAGGGTTTATAAGCTTTGGATGATTTGCATGTACAATAGAGAAACCAAGATCCAAAGCTTTAGGGTTTTGCATGTGCACCATAGGATTGATGATTTGCTCAAAACCCATCACTTTCCCACTAGACACCCCTCACACAACCGAATATGGTTATCTATCTTTGGTAGTCCACAAACTAAGTTCGTGTCTGACATTTGTTTGAGGACAGTAAATTTAACATGACCCATTCGTGCATGCCAAATCCAAGTTTGTTCACATGTCTCTCCAAGCAGACATCTGGACCCGACTTCATTTAAAATGATTTAAATAGACGGTTTGAAGAATTTTTTACCTTCATGAGTAGTCTCCCTTTTACATCATGAACCCATAGAAATGATCCATGTATGAAGATCCGGTCACCATTCTCTACTAGTTGACCCAAACTTATGATATTATTACACAAGCTTGGGATATAGTACACATTTTGCAACTTTCGTTGCTCTCCATTCTTGCACTGGAAAATAATAGAACCTTTCCCTTCTATACACACCTTGGACCCATCTCCAAATTTTACATAACCTTCAGTTGTTCGGTTAAGATCATAAAACTTATCTTTCTGACTGGTCATGTGGTTACTTGCTCCATTTTCTAGATACCACACATTTGACTGAGTTGTTTCATCACTTTCTAACTTCAGTTTTGGTGTCACTTTTTCTTCATTCAGGAACACCTCCTCTATTGCTTCATTGTTATCAAAAGAAGCCAATAATAATGTCGGTTCAACATGATCTTGGGTCAAATTTGCTTCATGGTTCCTTTCACGTCTTGGGTTTCTACACTCTGAGGCATAATTCCCAAATTCTTGACAGTTATAACATTGGAGTTCCATCTGCCACGACTTCTTCCATGACCTCGTTGATTGCTTGGACTACTGTGGTAGGATCTGTGAGAGGATTTTGAGTCCTCTTCACTTTTCTTCTTGTTTCTTTCAGGCCGCTATTGGTGAGTCAATAGAAGCTTTTTTTTCTTCAACTTCACTGTGCCCTCGGATTCTCTCCTCGTGAGCTTTCAACCTACCAACGACTTCTTCAATAGTCATCTTATCAAGATCTACAAATTGCTCAATGGTTGATGCAATCTGCAAAAATTTTGTTGGCACTGCTCGTAGTAGCTTCTTCACTACATATGCTTCCTTAACTATGTCTCCTAAGGCCCGAATATTGCTTACAATATTGTTTATATTCATAGCAAACTCTTTCACTGTCTCCATCATCGTCATATTTAGAACTTCAAATTCCGCTTTTAAGGTCTGCACCCTTGCTATCTTTACTCTATCAGCCCCCATGTACATAATTTTTAGATTCTCCCATGCTTTCATTACTGTTTGTTTCTCTACCAATGACAGCAACATATCTTTTGGGATTCCTTGATAGATGGCTACAAGTGCCATCTTATATTTTCTAACTTCAACTACATCTTCTGGTTTACTGGGCTCTACATCATCCCAAACACCTTGTTCTTGCATGAACATTTTCATTTTAATGGCCCATGCAACATAGTTGTTTCTTGACCGTATATGATAGTGTAGTGTAATCTGCCCATCCTTCCATTCCTTGACGAATCTCCCATGGATGCAGAACAGGGTTGATAGCATAAACTTTTTATACGCTCTGATACCAAATGTTGGTTTTGTTACCTTATCAATCACTTATCTTTTACAGAAAATGAAAAGGGAGATGGAGAGCTTTTGCTTTCGTGTGTATGTGCAACAAAAAAAGAGAGAGAACAATTGCCAACAATTGAGACAAAGTTACTATCACACTTTTTCATTCAAGGCTTGTCTAATACAAAAAGAACAAAACATTTAAAACTAGACAACTACTTTTCGACTTTTTTAACTACAACATTAAATAAACATTAAAAGGAAATTGACT